TATTATTGCTATTCGATTAAGGGTGTTATTAACTTTAACTCGATCAAACACGGAGTTCTCGTGGGTTCGACACTTTACACACTACTATATTACTTGATCACAATCTCATTTACTTGCGGAAAATCAAACGATCAATAGGCTACATAGGTTGTTGTCTAACATCCCCACACATATCAAACACCCATAATATAAAGGCGTTTAAAGCCCCCAAAAAAAAAAAAAAATTCCATGCAAATTTTGACCATGCTTCAAATGATTTAAGTTTTTACCTTTACTCCTTATAGAATTTTTTTTTTAAAGTAAACTACTTTACGGCAAGCTCGGTACAAAACATTTTCAAAGAAATAACTAAAATAAGCAATTTTTTACCTTTCAAAAGTTGTATCAAACCTTAGACATACCCTAGAAAATTTGTCCATGTTTGATGGTCATTATCATATAAAAATGATGTTTTGAATAGTGGAGAATGTGTGATTATAAAGAAAAAAACGTTTTGAATTTAGGTACAAAATATTTTATTGTATGAATTTATAACTAAAAAGAGTAATGCTATTCAAAAGCAGAGACATGAGTCATATTATTTTAGAAGAATGTATGGAATAGTAAATTGACGGAGAATGTATGGTTGAAAAAAAAAGGAAAGATTCTTGATGTGATGAAAAATATTATTTTATTGAAAAATATGTGATAAAAAATGAGTAAAAGTCGGTTCGAGTCATTTTAAGCCACTGAAATGAGTACCTAAACGTAAATTTTAGGGTCTCGTGCAATTAGCCAAAGCACAAACTGCCCGTATTGTTATAAAAAAAAAATTGAGTGAAAAATGAAAACAAAATTTTGACGTGAAGTTTGTCAAAAAACCAAAACCCTGCCAAGAATCAATACCCTTTTTATTCCTTCATTTCTCCTTTACTTGAATTTCTTGGCAAATCGGAACAAGAAAAAGAAAAGCGGCGGAAAATGGCAGCAACAGGGAGGGCGGCGGCGCTATTACAGCCGGTGACATTTGTAACGGGCAACGCCAAGAAACTCGAAGAAGTCCGCGCAATACTCGGCAACTCCATTCCCTTCCGTTCCCTCAAGCTCGATCGTACGTTATTATATGTCTCTGTTTATGTATGCCCATGTTTGTATGTATTGATTTAATTCATTTTGTGTGTATTAACAGTGCCGGAACTACAAGGAGAGCCTGAAGACATTTCCAAAGAGAAGGCTCGATTAGCTGCTAAAGAGGTAATTGACTTTCATATGACACTCAATTATAAACGTGCACACAGTATGGATGTAATTATGTTTGTTTTACAATGCCAGCGTATGGTACACCATCTCGAAGCATGGAGTATAAGTTATCTGAAATTTTTACAATTTCTTCTGTCTGTGTGGCGCAATGCTTATTCAAATCTGTGGACCTCTAATTCTGCAGTTAATATATCTCTATCTGCTGAGGGAAATTAAATATCAGATCAAGCTATAAAATAATTCAGCATTTCCATTTGTTTCGTATGTTTATGTCTCGTGTGTGAAAATTTGTATTAATTTCTCTTTGGAGTGGTACTATGACTTGTAAGTTTAATCTAAATATAGTTACACATCTATTATGTTATTTTCTATATGCAATATTAAACACAATAAATTTTTACTGGTTTTTATAGGTGCTCGTGTGTCCAGGTATATTTTTATTATGATGTTTGAACATGCACCATTTTATGTGACTCTGTACGACTTCATATACATTAGATGGTGATAAACCAATAATGTATCTTGAGGATTTGATTCCGTCTTTTTTGTGTAATGGAAGGTGAGTGGGCCAGTACTCGTGGAGGATACCTGCCTTTGTTTCAATGCCCTCAAGGGCCTCCCAGGTAGTTAAATTTAGAATAATTTCATAATGAGGTTGTATATGTTTCTTTTGTATTGCTGATTTCATTTCTTTTATCAATAATTATGTTGTGTTTATTAACATTGTCGACTTATTTCTCTCTGTACGTTGTGGCTAATAAATGCGTGTTTTCGTCTATTTTGCAGGGCCTTACATGTAAGTTGCCCACTTATCCTTCTTCTTAGGCGAACTTCCTTTCCATCTTTTAAGGTATTGTTCAACCGCCACCCCTCCCCACCCTGGGCTAAAAGGCATCATGAAATCCAAATTTACTCCTTTGAGTTATTTTTTGTGAATCTAAATAAACTATGTTGATGTTGTGTACCTTATTATTATTGAAGAATATCTTCATGACTTCATCTACTAAGCCTCCGTTTGGGAAGAATTTATAAATGGTTTAATTTATAAATAGATAAAAATGAGTAGTGAATAACTGTATAGTACATGTGAGTGTGGTTGAAAATGAAATTTGACTATTTATAAATCTTTGCCAAACCGAATCTATATGATTAGTGTTTTTTTCATTCTTTCTCTGCTTTAATTGATTTTTCCTTTACTAGGATATGATTTACATTTTAGGTTATTGATACATACAATTTTTATGAGAGCATTGCTCTTTGATCGACCATGTTAGGTTTGTGACTTGACATGTCTGATTTGGTTCATTCAAGCTTAGCACGATTCAATCTCTATTGAGTTTGAGCCACTTGACTAATCATAACTCATAAGATGTTTAATTATTTTAAAGACATATTGATTCGTTTTTATAATTATCACTGTACCGAATGTATAGTATTTGAGAGCTCTTATTTGCTTCAATTATATGGTGAGCAACTTGGACTCAATTCTGTATCTCACATCTGGCTAATAGATTCACTTTCCTTCTTTCACAATCCTCTTCTCTAGTTGCGGTATCTTTTCTAGAATCTGTGTAATATACTTCCTTAGATACAAATGAGAAATGAAGAAGAAAACATCTGCTTTCGTCTTTGAATGATAGAATTGTCACTGGCAATGAGGCTTTTGAACTAGTAATGTTCACTCAAAGGATATCCTCTATCCCTGATTAGGTCATTATTTTGATTGATTTTTCAAAACTATTGACTACATTCCATTTATTTGCAAGAAATATTTGAGTCAATTACATTATGGAACTTGTCCTTCTTCGAAGTGTAATGTTTATTCTGATCTTGCCAAAACTTTTGACTCTGCAAAAGATGCCATTGCCCAGATAGTATGAATATGTTATCTTTCCTCAACATTGTATTAATACCCTGTTTCTTATGGTCTTTTCTGGGCCCCACTTGATTGGAAAAATTTGCAGCAAGTGGTTTCTTCAAAAGCTTGGTCATGAAGGTATTGCCACATTCCTTGTTTTCTTTTTATATATAATTATTGTATTTTAACCCACCCCATATATTTAGTTTGAAGTTGCTTATTTTTATTCTCTTTTAGGTCTGAACAATTTATTGATGGCATATGAGGATAAATCGGCATATGCTCTCTGTGTATTCTCTCTTGCTCTTGGGCCAAATGCTGATCCAATTACCTTTTTGGGAAAAACACTGGTATGATTCTGTGCTTTCAGAACAAAGCATATTATTGTCTTGTACTTAATATTCCAATAAAATAGATGCTACAACCCGATCTTGTTTGGTGCTATCCAAGTGCTTCAACAGCTAGAGTCAACTGAAAATGTGTAAAGACTACGTTTCCCTCATTTATTCAGGAAAATTTATCGTGCCTCTATTCGACTTTATTTCTCTACTGTTGGTGGGGTATATCAACTAATGTTTTAGATACGTAAGCAAAAATTCTTGTTGCTGAAGAGTAACCACTTCTAGAGTGGCAAGGGATTAAGTTCTGCATTCTTGGGATGAAATTAATAAGGACAACTCTCATCAGTAGACTTGGCTCCCTAACTGTAAGCGATCTTTCTTACAAGACTCTTAACTTGATCTATAAATTGAGACCCTTCTATGTAAG